GCAAAATTTTAAATTATAAGCAAACATTGAAATTATTAGCAATTTTAAAGAATAGTAAACACTTAAATTTTTAATATTTCTTAAATTTTTTGAAAATATATTACTGAAATACTTAAATAAATTCATAAAATTTTACTTGAGATGAATTTGATTAAATAATTATTAAATAATTATTAAATTTTTGAATTAAGGTTTTTTTTACAATTCGAAAAACCAAGATTTTTTTACAACTCCCAAATATATTACAGAATATTAAAAAGAAGCACAAATTAAAATAAAAGAACTCTTGTATTTTCTATAATTTACGAAAAATCATTTTGAACAATAATATTATATAATATAAATTTGAAAATTAACTTAGCCAATTATTGTATAAAGGTAATAGAATAGAAGAAATATTATAATATTATAAATTATAAAAATATTAATAAAAATAATTTTAGTTAATGCTATAATATTAATTAAATTAGAATTTAAATTTAATTGGGTTCGATGAAATTTAAGATAAAATTTATTAAGAACAGAAAACTCCATATTTATACGTTAATAATTTTAATTTTTAATTTTTATGTATATAATTTTTTCTTTATTAATTTTTATATTAATAGATTTTAAATGTAGTAAAATAAATTCATTTTTGTTTGTATTTTTTTTTATATATATTTTATATGTTAATATGTTAATTTTTACTTTGATAATTCAGTTTTTTTTTTATATTTGTATATATTTTTTTTTTGCTTTTTCTTTAAGAATTCGGATGGAATCAATTATGATTCTATTTATTAATTTTTTTTTTTGAATGTGGTATTTATTTTATATTCGATTCTTTAAAATTTCAAATCAAAATTCATAGTTTTATTATTTATATATGCATAATAATGTATGTTTTTTTGAATAATAATTTATTGCAATAATTATAATATAAATATTTTAAATTTTATAATTATAATTTTTTATGTAGTTTTTATGATGTGAATTTTAACATAAAAATTTCACAAGTACAGTTTATTAAAAAGTATAATCATAATTATGTTATTTAAATATTTATATATGAATATGTAAAAATTTATTAATAATTTTTAATAATAAATTTATTAATAATTAATTAACATAATATAATAATATTAATTGTTATAAAATGAATAATATTATATAATAATTAATTATTTATATATATATATATATATATATATAATAATTAATAATAAATTATCATATTTATGTATGTATGTATATTAGAGTGTAAGTATTGGAATGTTTTGTTTGTTTCGTTTTCATTATATAATAGATTATAAATATGAATGTAAAGTATATATTATTTTAGTATGTTATGTTTGTAGTGTTTGATGATATTTTGTTTTTTATTACCATAATGTTTTATATATTAAATTCTTTTCTTTGTCATTTCAAAATTATTTTTGAAATATTTTTAGCTAATCTGTGTTAATATTTTTAATATTTAAATTTTTTTATTTTTTTTTTTTTTTTTAAAATAGTTGGCCTGTTTCGAAAAATTTTTGATATTTAATTTTTAAGTTTTACATTTCATATACATAGTTTATGTAACTATTAGCAATATATAAGCTATAAAATAGTTACATAATAATATATTAGTATTCAATTAAAATATGCATCAAAAAATCTTTACGTTTTTTAAAGTTGTTTTAGATAATTAATATATATATAAGTGTTTATATAATGTTAAAGAATATTTGGCTGTATAAGGAATATTATATTAATTATAATATAATAAATTAATAGATAAATTATAAATATTAGAATATACATGTGAACATAAAATGTTACAATATGTATTTGTATCAAAAATTAGTTATATAAATTATATAATATTAGAAAAAATTTCAATTTAATATATTATGTAATTAAAATGTATATTTATAATTTCGTATATGGAATGTTGTATCTGAAAAGAGTAATATTGTTGAAACAAATAATAATTTTGTATTTGCACTAAAATTAAATTCTATTTTTTTTACTTTAAAATAAAAAAAAAGGTGCAAAAATATTAATTTTAACAATGTATATTATAGAAAAATCACTTAATAAAATTTATAATAATTTGTTTTGTATTTTGTATTATATACATTATTAAAATTAAAAGCCTAAACATTTTAATTTATAAAAATAATTGTATGAGAAATAATTTATTTTATATTTATGTAGATAAACAAAATATTTCTGATTAAATTTTAATAAATCAGAAATTTGTTTGAAATTTTTCGAAATTAAAATATGATAGTTTAATTTTTCAAATTATATAAATATGGTAAAATAAGTATTATTATAATTAGTTATTAATAAATATGATATAATTACAAATATAATGAGTATACAACCTATTAGTTACAAGATTTTTTTAATTAAATGCATAATTCTTAAGAATACAATATTTATTTTTGATTTAAAAAAAACTTTTTTTTTTTGTGTATATTATATCACAATGTTAAATTATAATTTTTAATATTTTTTTAAAATACATAGTTGATGATATTTAAATTAAAAAGAGAATTTGAATTTAATTTGAAAATATTGAAGAACAAAAAAATAATATTAAAAATGAGGCAAAATATTTAATATGAAAATGTAAATATTTTTATTTATGTATGAATAATTGTGTATTTTTTAATAAGCACGTTTTATTATATACTTTTTTTTTTATAGTCGTACAAATATAATGAGATCAAAAATTTGGAAGTGTATAACATTTTAATATATATTATTATATAGTATTTAATTACATTTATATTGTGTATGTAAATGATTTTTAGGCATTAGTTTAAATGTATTTAAATATTATTTAAATTATTTTTTCTTTTGGCTTTATCTCTATTTTGATTTATTAATTAAATAATACTGAATAATTTGAAATTTTTAATTTTTTTTCTTTACTAAAAATATTAATGTCAACAAATTAGTGAATATTAAAAACTATTTTTGAAATGTGCATATGAATTTTTTATTTATTTATGTATTTTTATATAATATAATGAGTATTAGGAAAAATTAAAATTTAAGTAGAAATACTAAAAGAGTGATCACTATTATTATAGTATTCAAAGTATAATTCAAATAGTTTTGTGATAACAAATTTATAATATGTTAAAATATTTTATACATTTGTGTTCTTTTTCTAATCTTTTATATTATTTGATATATTTATATATAGGATGCTTGAATATGAAATTAGTACACGCGTTGAAATTTTAATTTTTTTCAAAACTAAAAATTAATTTAGTGAAATTTTAATAAAATTATTTGATTGAACATTATAACTTTCATATAAATTTAATATTCTTATATTTTATACAGCGTGTTCAATTCATTTATACTCTTCATATCTTATTTCCGCCGTTGTAGTTTGCCATTTTTAATTTTAAATAAAAATAAAGGTAATTAGATTATTCACTTCTACAATTTTATGAAAATCATTTGAATTGATTTAATCTTTAAATAATTTAAAGATTTAGCTACAGAAAAATTACAACTCTACTACTTCCTGAATGAGCGTCAGAATTAAATATCTAATCTTACCACTTCTCAAAAAGGCTTCAAGTTTAAAATATTTTACTTTTGAATATAAACATTTTAATATTTAGGAACATTTAAGCTAAAAAAAAAAATTAAAAGTTATCAAACTTAAATATTAATAAGACTTTTAACTCTACTACTTCCTAAATGGGCGTCAGAACTAAATATTCAGTCTTACCACTTCCCAAAAAGGCTTCAAGTTTAAAACATGCTGTTAGTCTTAATTATAGCCCTTTCAATATTTAAACTAAAAAAAAGAAAATTGAAAGCTTTTAAATAAGACTTTTAACTCTACTACTTCCTAAATGGGCGTCAGCACTAATTCATGTTAGGCCTACCACATCCCAAAAAAAGGCTTCAAGTTCAACGTAATATTTAATGGAAAATATTATAATATATTAATGAAAATTTTTTTAAACTTAAATATTTCTAAATTATAAGAAAAAAATAAAATATATATAAGGAACTATAAGAAGCTGCTAACCTTACTACTTCCTAACAAGCGTCAGCCTACATATTACTTTTCATACTTGAAAAACTTACCACTTCTTGTTTGGCTTCGGGTTTTCTTAATTTAATTTCTATATTTTTGATATAAATATATTTATATAAAACTTATCTCCTAAATAATTTAAAAGTGACAAATATATTTAAAAGGATTAAATTAAGGGGGCAGAATTTTTTGCTTTTAATAATTATTTGTGTTATAATTAGTTTGTATATATTTTTAAAGGTACTATGTACCAATTTATTTATATGACTAGTTTTCAACTATAATATTCGAAATAAAAATTTTGTTTATATTCTCGAATTTATACATTAGTTTATCGAATTTGATATCGAATAGTTTTTTGTATTTTTTTTTAAATTTTTATTGTATAAAATTTTGTAATAAATTTCATTTAAATATTAGAATTTTGAACACAGTTTTGTTTGTTTTTTTATTAATTATATTATAATATTATTTAATGTTCTATATATGAATATTTAAATATATATATATGTAGTTATATGTATATATAGCTTTGTATGAAAATTATATCTGTATTATTTTATTTAATATATTTAATATAATATGGATGTGTGTATGTATATTTGTTTGATATATTTTATTGCCATTATATGATTCGTTTATTTCAATTATTTTAAAATTAATGCATATTTTAAAATTTTTTTTAATTGAATTTTAAATATTATTTAGGATGAAATTTTTTGTATAATATGTTAATGAATGGTGTTTGTTTTGTATGTTTAATATAGCATTCATTTTTATGAATTTTGAAAGTTTTAAATGAATTTTTGTTTATTAATTTTTTTTTTTATTTTCAAAACAAGTCAACCATTATTATTCACCAAATTAATGAGAAACGTTTTTTCTTTGGTACATGATTAACACTGATTTTACGTAATTTTTCAGGAGCAACACCTTTACGTGGCTTAAAGAGATTTACCTGTAGACCAACTTTAATTTTTTTTGTTAATGCTCCTTGCGGGAATACAGCTTGAACTTGTGGTACAACAGTACTAGATACCATACCACCTTCTGGTCCAATAGCATGTACTTCTTGTCGAATTCTTGATACAACAGCAAAATATTGTGGAAAATCATATGTAACGAAACGACAAAATCGTCCGCCACCAAGTTCATCAAGTTGGGCAATTTCTACAATAAACAAAATAAGAAAACAATATTTAAAAATATATAAACATCTTATACAACAATTAATTGGAACAAAACAAACTAAAAAAGAAAAAATTGATTATGCTTTTTAATTTTCATTAATAATTTTACAAACCTTCTGGCTCAAAACATTCATTTAATACATCATGTATAATTTCATCTGAATTATCAATTGTATGTTCACGCCATGTTTCACCATTATCAGAACGTAATATAACAATTTCACGTTCTTTACCACGTAATGATGCAAAATGTGGTACTTCCATAACAACTGGTCCAAGAAATTTTGCTGATACTGGACCAATTTCAAGAACACGGCTAGCTAATGCTTCACCTTCCATTAATTGTGGTGGATGCATTGTTCTTTGTGGTTTAACATAACGACATGTAACACGTGTTGGTTGTCCAGCTGAACGTGCTGGTATTATAATACGTACACCACTATGTCTCATACCACGCATAGCACCACCACGTGCATCAACAAGGAATGATACCAGGAAGCTAAAAGAGTTAATTAAAGTTATTTTTTTCTTATTAATTAAAATATTTAAGTGAGTTTTTTATTATAATAAATATGTATATTTTATAGTAATAAAACAAATAATTAATTAATCATCGATACATAGATAACAATATTAATAAAATAAAAATATTAATAATAAATAAATTATTACTTAATTATAAAAAGAAAAATTATAAAAATTATTAAAAATATCAAATATAAATGAACTGCCGCTTACAATTATATTGATATTATTCAGTTTTATTCAACCTAAATTCATATTGAATTTATACTTTAAGACAAATGAAAATTAAGTTCAGCTTTAGAATTTTTAAACTATTAATTAAGTTCTTTAATGTTCTTAAGCTCAAGAATTGTAACACTTTATTCTAGATATATTCGAAAACTCAGTTCTATTATTTTCAATTGAAGCGCAGGATTTTTTTTTTAAATATTTAATCCTTTTGAAATTTTGTAAAATGGCATCTTAATAAAATTCTGCAGTTTCATTTGAAACATTTGTTTAAGAATAAAAGTATTTAAATTTTTACTTTAATTGTAATTTACTTTCATATTTAAATTGCTATATTAAATTTTAACAATTTTAGTGAATTCAAAAATTTTGTTTTAAACAAAATTGTTAAATTTTTAAACATTCAAATTCAAATTAAGTTCTTTGTCATTTAGATGAGGAAAATGTGAAAGAATTTCAGTAATTAATTAACAGAAATGTAACTTTTAAAGTAATATAGAGTGTAAATAATACGTTTTATTAAATTTAATAAAATTTCACATAAAAGAAATTTGAATTTTAATTTTAAGCAGTATTTTATGTTAATTTTTAAAAAACTAGAATCAATTTTACGAGAATTAAAGTTTAAAAACTAAAAAAAAACAGAAATGATCTTCAAAAAATTTCAAAAATTTAATAAAAAAATATAAATTTTCAAAAGATGGTTTAAAAAACAAAGGCATCAATCATTCAATTTCTTCAAAATTTCCACAAATCATAAAAGGTTTTCTTTTTTTCAAATATTTTTATTTATTTTCACTTACTTTTTCCATTGTAATTTCCGTCTTTATTTTTATTTTTAAAAAATTTCGTATGCATGAAAATGCAAGAAAAAAAATAATTTTTAAAAATAATGGTAAATTTATAATAGTGTCTTCTTTAGATGTTTTTAATTTTATTTGACTTATATAAAATAATAATAATCTTTGGATTTGAAATTGTAGTAATACACAGTTTGCAATATTTCACATACAATTAAACTTATGGCTTGTAATTGCTCAATTATGTAGAAAAAAAAATGTATTACTATAAATTTTAAAATCACAGGTTATTATTAATTTTATATAATAATTTTTAATATTGATTAATTTAAATTTTAATAAAATATATGTATACATATATTTTTTTAAATATTTTAGTTATTTATACAAAAACTTACCCAACACGTTGTTGATCTTGTTCAATTGTTATACCACCACCATCAATAACAGTTTTTGCTGTCATATGAACTTGTGCTTGATGTGGACTAATAATATCTTCTTTAACGGGTTGCTGTATTTGACCAGTTGAATCAGTACTTATAGCCATACGATTTGAATCCATACGTTCATCACGTGTTACATCAATTGGTAATGAATCATCACCAAGTGATTTCATTTCATCAACAGTTAAATATCGGTATGGTTGATCAGATAGGACGGTATCTTCACCTGAAAATTAAATTTATTTGTTGTTTTGTTTTTTTTTAGTTTTAATATCAGTTTATAGTGTTATTATAAAAAATTAATTTTTTCAAATTAAAAATTAAATTTTATAATTAACAAGAATGGCTTATTGTATAATAAAACATTAAATTTTGTAATATGAAACAAATATAATACATTTATATTAATTATATATAATAATTAATTAAAAATTAAAATAAGAAATTAAAATAAAAAATTTACATTTAAAGCTAAATTTATAAATTATTTTATATTATACAATAACTGTTCTGAAACTACTTTATATTTGATTATTATTTAATGAATAGCTGTTATATAATATATATGTGTATATAAGAAAATTAAATTGGAAATTACAATATTGATTATATTATTAAAATGAATATAAAAAATTAACAGCGATTATTATTATATACGACTTTACTACATTTAAATAAATTAATTTCTTGTAAATTTCTTGTAAAATTTATGGGTATAAAATTGTGGGTTTTTACAAATAGTATATATGAATGTATATTTATATATATACAAAAGTTATAATAGTCATGTAATATATAATATAGAGTGTGGGATCTAATAAAGATATCTAAGATGAACTTTAATATTGGAAATTAAAAGTTTCATGTTAATGTCAGTGTTATATAATGTATATAGTGTATTAAATAAGTTAAAATTATGTATATTGAAAATATTTAAAATAATCGAGGGTTTTTATTTAAAAAAAATCCAATAATTATACATTAATTTATTATATGTGTATGTATGTATTGTATATAATTATGTATAATATAATTTTAGTAAAAATATGTTAATTATAGATAACTTATAATTTATTTTATAACAATTATATTGTAAAAAATCGGTGTTGATAAATTTATTTCTTGCCTAAAATTTTTTAAAATTAGGTATATAGGATTTGTAGTAATTGTAAAAGCTACAAATTATTTCTATATTGTTATGTATTATAAAATATTTAGGGAATTGGTAAAATATTATGTAAAAGGTGCATTATAAAAAATTAGTAAAAAAATGTTAATAATATGGGTTTATAGGTAATATAAGTGGTCAATTACTATACTATATTCAAATTATATAAACATTTAATAATTTACTATGCTTTTTTTTTGTTATATATAAAATAATAATTTTGAAGGAATATAGAATTTCAAGGAAAATATAAAAATATTGAATAATAGTAGAATTGAATGGGCATCGTAATATAAATTTTAATATTACGATGCCCATTTAAAATCATTTAGACGAAAATATGAGATTTGCGATAAGCAGTTCCAATTTCTCTTAATAAATTTTACACAGTAATTATTACTTTTAATAGAACTATGGCATAATAACATGATTTAAATAATTTTGAAAGAAAATTTATTAATAACATACAAATTTTACAAAATTTTGTATTAATTTTAATAAAATTTTAAGGGTGAATTAAATAACTCTTTGATGAATGATTCATCACTCTTATAAATACTTATTTTAAGAGTATTTTTTCAAATTTTAATATATAACACTATTTCATTTGAATTAATGCACCTTATATTTAATAAATCAGAGAAGATCAACTTTATTTGAATTAAAAATGTTAAAGGGACATTAAGAAAACTTTTGTTTTTATTAAAAGAAAGTTATTAGTTAATATTTAAATTAATAATTATAGCACTGGAATATTTTCACCATCAAATTATATAAGTATTTTAAGTGTATGTATTGCAAATATACGTAATTTTTGATTTTTCACATTGTGTATAAGAAAACATAATAATTTAAACAACAACATTAACATTCCAAAATTATATTTATGATTTAAATACACTGACAACAAAATACGATAATTAATATTTTATAGATGGCGTTACAATAACCAAAAAAAAAAAATGTAGGAATAATTGAAACTATAAATATTTTTTATTAAATTAAATATTTTTTAACTAATTTAATAAAAGAAAGATAAAACAAAATTACATAATAATATTTAAGTATTTAGTTGTTGTTTGTTTTAACTATACAAAATTAAAAGGTTCGACAATGCATCCAATATTATTTTGGCAAGAAAAGGAACAACAAAAAAAATCCAATTTGTTTTTTTTTTCATTATTATTATTCTTTGAATAAAATTTTCAATCAATTTTGTTTTAGTAACAAACTAATGATTATTGTTTGTTCAAAAAATTTTTTAATTCCCCATTCTGTTCATTATGATGGGTCTCTCGTATACTACGAAAGTATATATATATATATATAAACCGGTAAAAATATAATATAATAAATAACAATTTATAATAAATTATTAACAAATTTTGTGAACTGAATGCAAAACCAACCCTCATGTTTTTATTTTTATTTTTATTTATATAACATAAATATATTTTGTTAGATTATTGTTTTGTTAATATGATTTAGTGTTGCCAATTTAATTTATTATTATAGATAGTATTGAAGAAATTTAAATAGAATTTTTTTTTTACAATTTCTAATGGGAATTGATTAATGATCAAGAAAGTAAATTATATACTCGATTTTGTTCAATACTTGCACGAAATTCGTGGTTCTGATGAATAGTGAAAGTGTTTATGAAAAGTAACAAGCTCAATCTAATATCATTATTATGTAATGCTCTATAATTTTGTCGTAAAGTGTATTTAAATTATGAAATGAACTGAATATTACGAGTATTACATAATGTGTTTTTCCAAGATGTTAAAAATTTTACGGTTATTTGACATTGATTTCTTCATTCTGTTTTAGAAAACTCATTTAAAGCTTATTTATTTGAAATTATTTTTGCTTTTCAAAGGCCAAAATAGTATAATACTTAGACAATTACTTAAAAATCATTATAAAAATGGCTTGGATTACTAAAAAAGTATTAAAATAAAATGAGCTTAATACAGCCAAATTGTATAAAATATAAAAATAAATTATCATGTACTATTATTTTAATGTAGAAAACAAGAAATTCAAAATTAATCACTTATAAGTATATAGGAACAAACAATATTTTTTTCTTGGCAACACTTTAAATATGTTATATATTATGTATGAATATTGTTGATTAAATAGTATGTTTGTGTGTATAATATGTTTGTTTATTTTGAAAGAAAAACTCAATTTACCCACATTTATTACATGGTTTAAGTATATATGTTTGTATGTATATTTTTGAAATAAAAGTATACAAAACTAAACCTTTATTTATGATTGCTTTGGTTTAAAATGAAACTTACGCGTTATAAAAGTTTCACCATGATAATAAGGCATATAAATGTGACTATTATTATTTTTTAAATGTAGTAGTTGTTCAGTATTATTAATATTTGTAAATCCAATACAAGTAGTTTCCAATTCTGTTGTAGTATCACCTATATTGATCATAAAGCGCGGAAAAATGATTATCATTTTAATGATTATCTTAATTTTTTTTTTTTGTGCTGTTTTATATTATATAATATAGTATAAGAGATTTTGGTATAAGAAAATATAAGACCTAAATATACATATATAGTATAAAATCTACAAAATATTGTGATTTTAAAATATATTTTCAATAATATTGAATATTTTTAGAAAAAAAAAAATTGTGAATTACACATAGTTTTAAATATTGTGAATACACATAATTAAATTTTTCATTTTAAAACCTTTAAATTTTGTAAAATTATTAAAATTTTTAAGAAATTATAATAAATAAATTATGACAAACTATAAAATGTAATAACAAATCCAATTCTACTCAATTTTTTGTTAAGAGATACTCAAAGTAATAGTAGAACAAGAATAAAATTAGAAACAAAAAGGCTAATATTGCAAAATTTTGTAAAACATTCGAAATTTAAAAGCCAATTACAAAAAATTAGAATAAATTTATAGTAATTTAGTAATTAAGGGAACATAAAGATAATTTAAAAATTCTAAAATTATAAGATAAAAAACAAATAATAAGTTAAGAAATTTTTTTAAACATTTAACAAAAAAAAATGTTGTCAGAAAATTTTAAAATATAAAAGGTTTATATTTTACTGTATGTATAACAAATAATTCAAAATTTTACATATAACTTTTATAATTTAAGGAAATGTAACATATATATATATAACAATATTTACCTCCTTCTTCTTCTGAATCAGACATAAATGTTTCATGCATTGCTTCTGGTGCAACAACACGATATTTTTCATCAGCATTAACTGGTATCGGTGATATTGATTCATTTGTTGATGCCTTTAATGAATCTAATACAGATATATAACCAAGTTTTTTAGCAATATGTAATGGTGTTTGACCATTAGCTGTTTGTGCATTAGCATTAGCTTTGTGCTCTAATAATAAATTAACAATATGACAATGTCCTTGTTGTGCTGCTTGATGTAATGGTGTATAACCGATACCGGTACTTGCATCAACATTTGAACCATTCTGTAATAAAAATCTAACCATATTTGCTTGTCCAAAATGTGATGCAACATGTAATGGTGTATAACCGGCTTTTGTTGTCATTTCAATATTTGCACCATTTTTACATAATATTTGAGCAACATTTACTTTATCCTCTTGAGCGCATAAATGTAATGGTGTTAAACCATTTTTAGCTTGGTGATCACAACCTGCTTTATGCTCAAGTAATAATGTTGACATATCAACATGTCCTTCCTATTTAATTTAATATAATAAAAAAATAATTTTAGAATTATAAATAATATAAGAAAAATCAAAATTTTTTCATATTTACCTGTGAACTTAAATGTAATGGTGTAAAACCAGCTTTACTTTCAGCATCAGCTTGTGCACCATATTCAAGTAATGTTGTTGCAATATCCATTTGATTTTTACGTGCAGCAATATGTAATGGTGTATGACCATTTTTAGCTGTTGCATGTGGGCTTGCACCCTTTTCAAGTAATAATAATGCAACATTTTGATGATCATAATGACTTGCAACATGTAATGGTGTTACACCATTTTTACCTTGAGCATCAACTGGTGCATCTTTTTGTAATAATAATTGGGCAACTTTCATATGACCATATTTTGCTGTTAAATGTAATGGTGTAAATCCTTTTTTAGTTGTTGCATCCAATGAGGCGCCATTTTCAATTAATGCAGCGGCAACCTAATTTTTGTGTTTTTTAAATGGTTTTTTTTGTTGTTTGTTTTTTTTTTTAATTATTGTTGTAATATTTTTATAGGGAAAATGTTTTAAGATATTTTTCATATGTTTTTATTGTATACAATTTCATTTTCCAATTATATAAATATTTCGAAATAAATTGAAGTTGGATTTTTCGTTCCCCGGAAATATTCAATTGGTGAAAATGCATAAAAATGAAAAAAGAAATTGAAGAGAGAGAAAAAAAAAACAAGAAAAACGATTTTATGATTTGCATGAAAATTGGGAAAATTCTTAATTTGTTTTTATGTTTTTTTTAATTTAATTTATTATGAAAATTTGTTAAAGAATTTTAATTTTGGTAAAAAAGCAATTTGTTTCATTACTTTTTTCTGTTTTTATTTTGGTGAATTGTAATGCAGTTGTTTAATTTTTGATTATGTTGAGTTTTTTTTTCAAAAAATGCAAAAATAAAATGGAAATTATATAATTTATATAGTGATAACAAATTTCATGCAAAACAAAATTATATGTGAAAAGAAAAATGATATTGAAAAAAAAAAAAACAAATTAAATAAATTAAAAATTTTGTAAATGCAATTTAAATTTTAAAAGGTTTCGGTGCAGAGTTTCTTGAACTTAATTTAACATCATTAATAATATAAACAAAAAACGGAATAATTTTCATATACCCTACCCATATTGCCAGTTAAATATTAATATAATTATTCAAAATCAGTTAATTATAAAATTATTAATGACATAATGTTAATGACAAATGTTAGTAAAATTTAGGCTGAAATGTAGACTGAAAGGGTTTTCGAAAATTACCAAAATTTTACAGATGAAAATATTATTTGCATATTTAAAAGCATTTTCTGATTCTCAATAATTACTCCGGCCTCTTTTTTATGTAAATCAAAGACTTAATTAATGATATTTTAAGTTAATAAGCTGATTTCTTTTTGAGTGTCTATATTTTTGTTTGGTAAATGTCTTTTCCTCTCCTAGCTATAATTTATAAGTTTTTAAACTAAAATTGCGTTTTACAATTAAAATAACAATTTTCGGTAAAATGTAAGTACTTTTAAGTTTACGGAATGAAACTGAATTATTGTATTAGAATAGAATTTTGGAAGAAATGCCTAGAAAAACAAAACTATGTAAATAATATAAGTTATTGTGTTTCAGTACGCGTATGCATTTCTGATTTAATTGAAATCGAGATAAGTTTAAAATTTATAAAAAATTTATAAAAAAGGTGGTTATTCTCCATCTTGTTTGATAATTAGGATATCGTAAAAAAAATTGAAAATTGCGCTGAAATTTCTGAAATCTTTTACTTACATTTGCAGTTTTCAAAAAAGATTGTATTGCCATTCTACATTTTTAAAAGCATTACTTTATAGTTTAAGCAGTTCTTATTAAAAATATACGAGTACATCTAATCTAGTACTTGAATTAGAACTGTGTTTTGAGTAGAATCTATTTTTTTTTTAATTATTTTAATACAAATTAGTAGAGTTATTAATTTATATTACCTCGTATGCCATAAAGTTCATAATTTTTATACAATAATTCTATTCCTGTTAATTTTTTATTGTTAGAACATTTATAAATATTTTTTTTCTCTTCACTACTACTATAATGAAAGCTACTTACATAACGTGTATATTTGCACATAAAATAACTAAATAAAATATATAATTGATAGAAAACTAAATAAAGAAAAAATTATATAAAAAGTATATAGGAAAATAATAATTATAAAAAAAAAGCTGATTTGTTTTATATATATATATTTTTTTTTTCGTTTTATTTATTTTTTATTTAATTATAATAACTTTATTTAGAAATTATTTCAACAACAAAATAATTTAATAAATAATAGAAAATAATAATTAATAATAGTAATAATAATAATGATAAAACTAAATAATTAACAACTGAACAAAACACCATTATAAAATTGAGTGAAAGAAGTGTGTGTGTATTGAAAAAGCATTATAAAAGAATTTTTGAAATTTTTTCTTAATTAACATAAAAATAATTAAATTATTTCAAAAATATTTTGTTTTAATTTTCATAATTAAATTAAAGATCATCTTATTATTTTATAATTTGCATTTTTTTTATATAGATTATAAAATCTAGAACAACAATATAAATTATATTATATAAAATAAAATTAAATGACATACATAATAGAAAATAAATGAATAAATTAAAAAATAAAGAAGTTAAAATTTAATTAGAAATTAAAATTTGAATTTTTTTTTTGTAAGTTTTTTTTTGTGTGTCTTTTAATATAGAAATTAAGAAATTAAAATAAATTTACAATAATAATGCGAAGGAAACCCCTTAGTAGTTCAATTATTATGATTATATTTATAATATAATTTCTTGTTATATAATAGAGTTTAGTATAATTTTATTTAAATAAAGGAAATTCTTTTGTAGATACATATTTTGAAATTTTAATAGAAACTTTTGAAATGAAAACTAAACAAATTTTTTAAAAAATCTTTTGCTGTTTACAATCAAATTTATATAAATGGTAAAAATGAGATCAAATATACATTGAAAATGCCATAATTTTGCATTTAAATTATTAAAATAAAAAATTTTTACAATATTTATGTTATGGCAGTGTATTTTCTATTTATAGTTTTAATATTAAAACATTAAAAATAAAATTTTTATTTTGAAAAGTCTTAATTACAATAATTGTGAATGACATATAATTTTTGATATTAATATTTTATTTTCACTAAATTATGAATTGAAATTGATATATTAAAATATTAATTCAAATATAAATTGAGAAGAACTTTAAATAACATGTTTTCAAAAATCTAAAAAATTCTTATTCAAATTATTAAAAGTTTCGTTTAATTCAATTGGATTGCAATTTCCACTGCAAGACGTTTGAATTAACATAAAAATATTTCAATTTAGTTGTGATAAATTGAATATTTTTCTAATATTTTCTCATATAATTTAAAATAATTATTGAAATTAATTAATTCCAAAGAATTAAAATCATTTTGTTAACCAAAAAATCCAAAGAAATTTTCAATTTTATGCAATTAAATTATATTATAAAATTATCATAGAAATTTGATTATTAAAGAACTTTTAATTATAAATTTTCCAAATTATTAAAAATTCTTTTAATTGATTTCTTTGTTGTTAATCACTGCTAAGAGGTTTTTTTTATTTTTTAAATAAATAACAAAATTAAAAATAATTATAAAAATTAAAATTATTAAATGTTTTGTATTTTTTGTTTGAAATTTTGGATAAAGTGCATTTCTTCTTTTTTTTTTTATTTTTTATTTAAATAACATAATATTCTTTGTAATTTATTTTTGAAGTGTAAAATCATTTTTAGTTTATATAAAAAAGTTCAGTGATTATTTACTGTAAAATTTCATATATATATATATATATATATATATTTCGTGTCAATAATAATATAAAATATTTAAAAAAAGTGCATGAATTAATAAATTTTTATTTAATTGAATAACTTTACTATAAAAATTTTATTACAAAAAAAAAAAAAAACAAATCTACTTTTTAAGTGAAAAATTATTTTTTTCTTGTTTGTGTGACTATAAAAACATTTAACATTTATATAGAAAAACAAAAGATATTTTCATAATTTCTTAAATAAAATATTCTTGATGCCTTATCCAAAATAATTGCATTAAATAAACAGTATCAACATGATCCATAATTTTTTTAGCTATAAGATTTTTTACCTCATCTTGACCTTCTTTTGCTGCAATATGTAATGCTGTATACATATCCTTTGTTGTTGCATCAACTTGTGCACCATGTTGTAATAATAACATAACAATATCAACATTACCCAATCTTGATGCAATATGTAATGGTGTCTGTTGTTCTCTAGCTCTAGCATCAACTTGTGCACCATTTCGTAATAGAATTCGTATAATATCGGTCTATATATAAATACATAATAAAAAATATAATATAAATAATTAAATAATTATAAAATAAAGTCGTTACAATTTGGTTTAATTTGAAATGAATATTTTATAAATAAAATTTGGATTAAAATTTGTGCTGTTTATAAGAATTTGTGGCCTCTGAAGATCCTAAAATAATTTTAATTCTGACCTCAAAATTATTGAGATTATTTTGCACGTGATTAAATACAAATATCTGAAAGTTTTGAAGCTTTTTATTTATATATATATTTTTGGTTATAACATTCTGTGACAAGCACCTATCATTAAGTGCTTTAATACTTCATTTAATCTTACAATTAATTTACAATTATAAATCAAAATTTCTAATTTATTTGTTTGTATAATTTTGACATTTAATAAAGCTTGTTAGTACCTTCTAAATTGTTTTTGAACAATTCCTATTCTGCACAATTATACATTTTCCGTGACGCAATCTATTAATAAGTTTAAGTAACCTGTTCAGAAATATATTTCAACAATGTTGCCATAACATAAAATCTAATATGTATATGCGAATAAGAGATGATTAATTCATTATTTTGTGGTTTGCTTATTGTTTTATAAATAATTTTAATAAAATTGAATTCTAAATATAAATTATATATTTGTGGTTAATGAAATCTTTCAATATTTTTACTTTATTAAAACGCAAAATATAAATTTTACAAAACATTATTCTAAAATTCAACTTGACCACAATTATTTATAAACTATAATTCAGTTTTCTTTTTAGTTTTATTATAAAAGTAAATATTTTATTCTATAATAGTTTAAAAGTATGTACTTCACAATTTAAATGCTTTTAAAATAAATTAAAATCTAGTGTTCCTTAACCTATAAATGAGTTGGTTTTAAAGTTTTTGAGTTTTCTTTATTTATATTTAGTTGTAGTTTCTATTATATTTCAATTTATTGTCTTAAGAGTCTACCAAGATACTTCAAAACTTTCAAGCATATAAATTTTAATTTTAAAATAGTTTCTTATTGTTTTAAAATTTCAGAATTTTTCGGACTTATTTAAATATTGTTGTTTGAAGAAAAAATATGTAAAGTGTAAGATTTTTGTAAAATTAATTTTGATTAATTTAAATTTGAATAATTTTATTGCCTTCAAGAGGCCAAAAAAACTTGTAAATCAACTTAATTTAGATTTTAAAGAATTAGGTACTAAGAAAATATGTACCTGATTTGCCCTTGCAGCTAAATGTAATGGTGTTTCACCGCGTACGGTCGGTACATCTGGACTTGCATCATGTTGTAATAAATAAATAACAATATTCATACATCCCATAAATGATGCAACATGTAAAGGTGTTAAGCCACTTTCAGTTGTTGCACTAATACTAGCACCATGTCGTAATAATAATTCAACAACTTTAATTCGATTCTTTTTACATGCAATATGTAATGGTGTAAAACCATTTAATGCTCTTGCATTTGCATCAGCATTACGATCTAATAATAATTTTGCAACACGTACATGACCACAATGTGCAGCAACATGTAATGCTGTTAAATAATCAACAGTTACTTCATCAACTGGTGCACGATGATATAATAATATTCTGGCAGCATCAACATGTTCACCTTGTGCTGCCATATGTAATGGTGCTAAACCATTTTTAGTTTTAGCACTTATTGGTGCACCACGTTCTAATAACATATCAACAACCTGTTCATGACCGGAACGTGCAGCACAATGTAATGGTGTTAAACCATCACGGGTTTTTGCCTCAATATTAGCTCCTTTTTCAAGTAATAATGAAACCATATTTGTTTTACCCCATTTTGCTGCAACATGTAATGGACTTATATTATGTTTAGCTGCATAATTAACATCAGCTCCTTTTTGTATTAATAAATTTGCAATTGCTTCATTACCATAATGTGAAGCAATATGTAATGGTGTAAATCCGGATTTTGATGTCACGTCTGGGTTATGATCATTCTAAAAAAAAAACAAAATTTATTCATTTTAACCATAACTTAAATTATTCATTTGAAATTTTTATTTACCTCTAACAGTAGTGTTGCCGCTTTAACATCATCTTTTTTGGCAGCAATATGTAATGCTGGAAGACGTACTTTACCTCTTGTATCACTTTCTAACAATACAGCAACAACTTTATCATGTCCCTGTTGCATTGCAACAGCCAATGGTGTAAAACCATCTTCTGTTGCCAAACTTTGATTAGCTGAATTTGATAATAATAATTTAACAACTGAATCATGATTTTCTTGTGCGGCCATATATAATGGTGTAAAACCATTTTGTGATTGAACATTAACTGATGCGCCATGTTGTAATAATAATTTAACTACTTCTTCTTGTCCAGCTAATGATGCTATATGTAATGCAGTATTACCTTTTTTAGTAGCTGCATCAACTGTTGCACCACGCCTTAATAATTCTGATACTACATGAACATGGCCATCTTTAGAAGCTAAATGTAGTGCATTTAATCCATTCTAAAAATAAATCATAAAAATTTTGAAAATATTATTTAATTTGCTAAAAGACTAAATTGTATAAAATTAATTCATTTACTTATAAAATAATGAAATTTTAGCATTTGACCTTCAAATATAAAGTAATAAATAATTGAAATGAAAGTATTCAAGTTAAAAATAGCAAAAATTAATTAATCTCACACCAAATTTTGGTTGGTATTCTGAAATGTCAAGAAAGGAAAATTTTATATCTACTACGTTATTGAGAAAATCAATACCAGTCCATTAAATAATTTGGTCAGGTTCTTTTTGTTAAATTGTTGATAAATCCTTTTGGAAAACTTAAGGATTATTCGTATTTTACTATGCATATACATAAATATAAATAACAATACCTACATACATATACAAATATAAATAATTTATTGATTTTCAGTTACAATTGCCCAAAATGAAATTTTCTTTTTATTGCTTTTATGTGCAAAGAATACAAAAATATCAAAATGGCATTAAAAGTAAAACTGTGAAAAATTTGGAATTTCTGAAAATATTTTGTGTGGGTGATGGTAGTTATAAATTTCCAAGTTGAAATATTAGACACTGAGAACGACAGGTTCACTTGACGATGTAAGAAATAAAAGAATTTTTGAATAATTCAATAGTACAACTCAAAATTACAATACTAATTAATTTTTTTCGTTCAAAGTAATTCTCCTGCAAAAATTTCAGGTTGTCAAATATGTCATATTTAAAATTTTGCAATAGTGCTTTTGGACTCCTGCAAACTGTACAAATATTACCAAAATCAGTCAAAATGTATGGTACGCCTCAATTTTTACAAATTAATGTTGACAACATTACAATAACCTTAACAAATAAGAGAATTTAATGAGTTCCCTTTTGCATTTTCTGAAGAATTAATATTAATATGCTATTACAACAAAAGCAATTACAATACAACCTACTGATTAAATTTAACAACATTTTGATTAACATTTTAATTAATTTGAACAACAACTTTAATTAACTTATTTAAAATACGGTCACACTTAAAAGACACTCCCAAATTTCTAATTTCCCAAAACAAATCAATATTTCCCAATAGACAATGACAATTTGAAAATTTTTGTAATGCATATTTTATTTGACGACAGCATGTTGAAATTTGCTCTCTGCAAAATTGTTTGAATGAAATTATGTTGAAAATTTTTATATAATTGCGTTATAATAAAAAAACCAAATATATAATCGCTAGAGACTTACGCCTTCAGTAAGACAATTAAAATAAAAATTTTAAACTAATGTTAAAATTTTTAGTAATTGTAACAAATTTTATGTAATGGGTGATTTGCCAAGCATTACATGCAGTAGTTCTCAATACTCAATATTAAATACTACTCAATTGATTATGTTGCAAATAAATATGTTATTAATAGTCTTAGTATGAGAATGATTGTTAGAATTTTTTAGACATGTCCAATATATGAATAAATAAATAAATATTGCTTTTCATAATTGCAACGAATGCCGAATTTTTGACATAAGAAATTTCACGTATATCAGAATTGAGGAAGCGCATGATATTGGTAGTCAATTGACAAGTTCAAATTATGATATTAATTGCTTGTCGAACAGTTTTAATAAATATTTATTAAATGTTAACTCAGAAGTGCTGCTCAACAGTACTTAAACAGTAATCGAAACTCAATCGATTTGACGTTGCCAATAATTGTAATTGATCACATGTAAAATGTCACACATAACGATATGAGAGTGCAAGGCAGTATTTAAATCATCCGTTAGGTGTGATATGTTTATAAAATATTATTTAGGATTGAACTTGGGATGTTTTTTGCATTATATTTTTTTTCTTAACTTGTTTCAATTTTTGTTTTATGAAATTTTTTCTTCAGAAAGATGATTTTTCATTTTTAACATTTTGGAAGTGAAAACCTACCTACCTACCTACCCATACTTACATCTGTTTTAATAAAATTCTTCATAATGAAACAAAAAACCAGTCATAATGAAGAAAAAAATAAAAAAATTAAAAAATAATAGCAAAACAGTAAAAAAAATTTTCTTCTTCAAGGACTCATTAAATATTCAAAAATTTCTGACTTGCAAAAATAATTGTTAAAATCAAAAATTTTCGAAATTTAAATAAAATTTTCTTTTATGTTTTAAAATACATAAAAAGAAAATAAATTTGACATTGAAATGAAAAGTTTAAAATTAACTATTTTCGAAAAAAAAATAATATATTTTTCTCTCTTTGTTTTGAACATCAGAAAGTAAGGGTATAATTTGAATAATATTTTTTTTTTTTTGGTTTTAATCAAAAATTATTTTTTATTATTATTGAGCACAATAAATTTATTTTTAAATTTTTTTTTTTAGAAATACTTACAGCATTGCATGTGTTTATATCTATATTATTTTTAAGATGTTCTAATACTTTGTCAAGATTACCAGCTCTAGCAGCACGCAGAAATGATGTATTACCATCACCCTGTAAAATAAAAAATAAGAGAAAATTTTATAAGTATGTACGTATATAAATTTCGTTCACAAATTCTAAGAAATATAAATTTAAAATATGGTTGATATTTTATTTTAGGTTATATAACAGATTCATTTAAAATATAACATTATACTCTAGATAGTACGAGAATAGCGAGCAAATTGTATTAAATTTTATTACTGTAGTATGGGTTGAAATATAAAAATAGATTGAAGATAAAAGAAATTATAAATTATAAGGAAACTGAAATATAAAAAGCAGAAATTATGAAGGATTCTAAAATGAAATTTGAGGTGATTTTTCGGCTCTAATGGTATTAACTATACCATTTTATATAATATAATAGTTTTCAGTTCGTTGTATTTGGTCATATACATACAATCGAAAGGTGCTATAGACAAAGGTAAGAGAAAAATATCGAATACTCATTTTATTAGAAACCACCCTGAAGATTTGTAGCTAATAGGAATACTTAAATGAGTAAATGAGTGCGATACCTGATTAATACTTTCAAACAGAGCAAGTTATACTGTAAATGTTAATTGTGACAGGTTCTGTTAACTTTTTTTATATAAACTTAATAAAATAGTGAAAGATAGAAAAAATTTAGTAAATTCACGTCTACGTAACTTTAAATGCTATATGTAAGTGCTAACACTAAACTAGATCTGCAAATTCAAAGAGTTTTTGGTATTTTCCTGCTTGTAGCATATAATTCTAGTTTGTAGTTTTACGAAAGTTTGACAACAGTCTCTGCAAACAACAATGTTACTTGGTCGATTTGTCATATTATGACATTATTGTTTTATATGTGGTTAAAGTTGAAATTGACAAAAAGAAAATTTAAATATTGAAGTTTTTTGATTTTTCAGAAAAAATTTAAATATGATTGTAAGTAAATATTATTCTTTAATTATTTCTTAATTTTTTGAACAATTACATATTTCTTTAAAGATCATAACCATAGAAGAAATTGGAAATGGAAACAAATTCGATTTACTTTGCTCGATACCGGGGAGTAAGCTACGAATAGTTGAACGTTTGAAAAATGGAGTGTTGTTTTAAATAATATAAAAAAAACTTCAATTTTATTCTAATTTTGCTCCTGAGGAAATCTAAAATTTCCAAAATTTTTACAAAAGTTTCCAATATTCAAAATAAATTTTTAGCGTTTTTTAATATCACACAACATTGTTTAGTGTAGTTGTAGTACAGCGATACTACAACTACAGCGGTACATTTAAAAATTAATTTTCAACATTTTATACTTAAAGTTAAAACGTGCGTATACCTACATAATAATTAAGGATTTTTGTAGAAGTTCGAAGACAAAATATTATTAATAATTTAAAGAAAATTCAATATTCATTGATTTTTTAATCTAAAAATGAAAATGTCTGAGACTTTAATTAGAAAATTTCAAAACAAAAAACTAAAAACTTAATAATGGTTTTACACCACGAAATTTTGGAGAAATGAAAATAATTATTGATTTTTAAATGAAATTTTCTCTCCTTCCTCTCACTCATTTCTTCTGTCTGTTTTAAATACGGTAAATTTTTAATGTTGTTTTACTTGTGTCGCATACTACATATTCTATTTATGTATTTAAGTTAAACATTTGAGTTTTTAAATTTTATAATTGTATGTAAAATGGTAAACCATAAAACTACAAAAAAAAAAAGTAATAAAAAGAATTTTTGAGGTTTTTAAAATTTTAAAATAAAAATTACATTTTGCATGACATCACATTATTTACATAGTAATTTACAAAAAGTTTAATTAAATTATAATTAAGATATACATGGTTTCTGTACAAAAATATACAGTCAGAAACGGCAATTATGGTACAGGAATTATGTAATGTAGGTTATTTTAAAAAATTTCTTGTCAGGGTTCTTTTTCAATTGAACTTATTTTTCAATTGTTATCAATGACTTCACTCCGTTTATAATCTGAAGAAATAATGATATCAGATGTGAATATATTATAAATGGGTATGTTATTGCTCAGCATCAAATTCTGTGTCGATTATTCCAAGTCTGTTCGTTCGTTCGTTCTTCTGTTTCAGAGACAGCTCAAAAACTAACTGAGTTATGTTTATTAAAATTTTGGCAAACAGTTTCTTATATGTATAGGAATATTCTATTTTAATTTAATATACATAATCGATACTAGTGATTTGTGTAATTGCTAGTGGTTCGGGTAGTTGCTAACGGTTCGAGTAACTGAAGATATCTAAAATCTAAAGATAATAAAAAGATTTCGATAGTTCTATCCTTAAATCTTCATTTACAAATTGTCTAAATTTTACCTATAATTATGTTCTTACGGAATATAACTTAAAAATTCTGCCATTCACTGCTCTCTATATTATTATTATTAGGGTGTTTTGCTAATCTATACCATATCAGATACAAAATAACAAATTTAAGTGTATAACTGTTGTGACTTAACGATTTTACTATTATTTAGTAATTGTATTAGTACAAAGCGTGTATTACACATTATTATATAGTAATTTAATATTCTTATATTTTTTTTATTACTAATATAGTATAATAATATTTTCCTATTCGTTTAATACCATTTTTATTTACCATAAATAAAAATTGTATTAAAATTAGTCCTTGAACTAATTTCCCATTTATTTTTTTTTTCTTGTAATATCTACTTGTTGTATTTTCTTTTACTCATTGCTCATTAATTTATTTGTTAAGGTTTTTCAGTAATAACAGTAGAAAAAATGTACGTACGTATATGGCGTACCTTACAATTATTTTATTCTATTTTTGTTATCTGGATGTAGGTTATAAGAATATAGGTGTACATATAAGAATAGGCAAATGACACCACAACACAAAAACTCATATTTCGACTTTAGACAAATAATATCGATTTTAGAAAAAAGTTCTAATTTTTCGATTCATTTATAAAAGTTTTTGATTTTTTTATTTTTTCATTATTCATTTTAATTATCTTATCTGCATTAAAAAGAAAGAAAATGAATTTGAAAAAAGAAAAAAAAAAATGAGGAAAGACGCACGACAACGATAAAAGCGTGAGCTTAACTTATTATTTATATATGGAATAACATGCAAGTATTGTGCTAGTATTAAGTTAGTAAATGCTTTTACTACATTTACTATACTATAAAAGGAAAAAGTAGTTATTTTATATATTTAATCCCCAGGCAAATAAATCGGAAAGAGAAACAAATTTAGAATAGTAAATGAAGGTTAATCTTTTCTACTTGTATATAGAAAATTTAATATAATAAAGTTTCTATAGCATATGAACATAAAAAAATATTCATGTGTACGCTAGCCGAGAAAAATCGATTTAATTAACTTAATTTTTTTTAGTATTTTTTTTTTGTTTTTGTATAAAGATTGTAATCTTTGAGCTATAACTAATATAGAAAGGTAACCTAATATCTACATTAAAAGTATATTAAAAGTTGAGACATGAATTCACAACAAATTATAAAAATGGATCGATAATAAACCATATATGGCAAATGGATACTAGGAGATGAAGATATAAAAGCTACATATAAATCGAAAATTCGTTGAGGCTGTGTAAAGATTCTTTCATATGGAATATGCCATTTTTGTTCCAAAATGTAAAGTTTTTGCAAGCGATTGAGATTTTTGAATATAAGGTATACATATTTTAAGAAGGTCATATAAAAGAATTTCTGAAGGAAAATTGGGTATTTTGAAAATTCTATGCCTATGAATTCTATGACTGAAATTAGCACAAAAAATATCCAAATTTTCTCAACGTAGGGTAAATTCTCCGAAATTCTAATGGTAAGTTTAAATGCAATAAGTATTTGAAAATGACAATGTAATAATTCAACTCGGAAGTTTTACTTGTTTGACAGCTGGGAAATGTTGAAAAACTTGTGATATAACCTGTGTCATCTTTAGTTTTGCACTTAAAATAATATTGTTGTTGCTTTATATATTCTTGTAGAATGAAATTTTATGCTACATGAAATGCTCATAGGTAAACGGAGGAACTTAAACATACTATCAACTATTTCATTTATCAATTTATATGAGTATATATTAAAGGCCTACTTGCGGTCCACCTTTGATTTCAAAATACTAACATGAAAGCGAAATTTCGCTTACTAATATAGAACACATATTCCAATAATCCAACTTAAACCTTCTAATATATATGGAAAATTTTCCATTTAAAATATAAAAATCAGCAGATAATTTTGTATAGAAACCCTTTAATGCAATTAAATTTCATTTAAATAATAAAATTAAGAAAATGAAATTTCAATTAATCAATAATGATTTGCTAATTAACAATCATAGTTTTTAATGTAACAATATAATTTGTTAAAATTTATTTGATGGTTTCATTACAACCCATTTATATTAACTTTAATGGAAAGAACTAATTCTACATTCATAGGTGACGATGAATTGTGTAGGTTATTTAATTTTCAACAAATTTAATGTAAAGTATATTTAAAAAAAAATTAAAACCAAAAATAGAAATTAAATTGAAACGGTATAATCACCTGTCAATTCACGGAAAATGTGCGATTATATGTAGCTTCATACACTTTTAAAATATGTATGTAAAAAACTTGTGTCATTACAGTTTTAACGCTCAATAATAATAACTTTAAATGGAAAAATAAAATTGAAAAATAATGGAAGGGAAAACAAAAATTTATTACAACACTAAAAGCATAATACACTCTTACACCTATACAAATATAAATAAATTCAAATGAGAGATTATAAACATCAAGGGAGTGCCGCAAAATGACGTAAGTTTTATATTTATTTTTTGTTGTCCTACAAACACATTATTTTGTGGTGAATTTATTACATGAAAATTTTTAAATTACAGGTGAAAATATAAAATATATTATTTAAATAAGTGTGTTAATTTCATTTGGGTCATAATTTTAAAATTTAAAAATTAATTAATTAGACACTATATTTATTATAAGT